CAATTGCACCCCGACTCAGAGATATCATGCGCGGCAGGATCAAGCGAAGTAACGACCGATTAAACCCTAGGAAGCAGATCGGTGCACTGTACGGTATACCGTGCGTAGACTGTCCTTGCCTGTACATGCTCGCATGGCGCATACATTAGCATAATCGGGCTCTGTGACGGGGTGACAAACGACGAAAAGTAGCCTTCCATAACTTCAAGAGTCCAACCGTGAAACCACCAGGATAATTGCCCATACCGATAAAAAGACAAACCGAGAATCGACTGAAGCCATCTCAGAAGTATGGGTGTAAACAGATAAGTGAGCAGCTGGGAAAAGGTGAAATGATCTATTTGTCTACTAGTGAAAGTTTTCACATCAATTCACCTCGGACATTATGAGATCAACAATTTTGGCATCAAATTGTTTGAGGCGCTCATCCACCACAACGTCCTGCCCATTCTCGGCCCTGGCGATAGGAGACTTACCGCTGGAAGGCGGTAATGTAGCCGCAGAAGAGGCGCGAGCTTCGGAGTCCGCGGCTTCAGCATTGGTTCGGGCGAATGGGGGTACAAAAGCAGTTCGTGGACCCCGACTACAGAACCAGAGAACATAAAACAAAATTGAGGAAACAATTTAAAAATACATACAGTTTACTGAGTTTGCACTGAACTGCCGTTGCCTACAACCCTAGGTAACAAACTGGATAACTCGGACACCGCAGTTGGTTCAGTGTGTGCCTTGATGTGCGGAGTGGCTTACTGTGGGCTGAGATTCAGGCTCAATGACCGTTTTTTCATGTGGCCTTTATGGCGCTCCCAGACGGGAGCCTACCTACCAAAGTAGTGTTGGATATGTTTCACGCACACCACCTGCACCCTCCCCCATCTCTAGTCTTCTCGGCTTTTGTCTTGACACCGGGTTCGGGCGCGGGAGAGGTCAGAGAATGGGGTAGATCCTGTGAGTCTACTTTCACTTTAATCCAACCGCAGTCACTGCGTTACTTCAGCTTGCTGAGGTTCGTGGTGGACACCCTCGAGAGCGACGTTAGAACTGTCAGGTAAGAAACTATGCCTAGATAGAGTGAAAGATACCTAGGCTCGGGATCCCCCTGTACTCGAAATTATCATTAACTCGGGCGAAGTCTAATCCCACAGGAGTTTACCTAGGGAATCGGCGGATAAGGAGAGCCCGACTGATAGACTTTTATGTGATGGTTTATACACGGGTGGAGGAAGCAATTAAGAATGCAACACAAACACGAGCAATAAAGTATTTCTGGGCGACGTATATATATTTATTTTACAGGCTGTACGTAAAATCGGTGCAAAGGCGACTTGACAGAAGTATCATACAGTCGCGAGATAGTAAGTAGCGGTTAAGATAATGGAGATATCCTAAACACCACAAAAATCAGGACCGAGTTCCGTTTTGGAGTAGGGGAAAGA